AGAAGAGGGGAGCAAGCAAAAGGGGTCTGTCCAAGGGAGGGGTGACTCAGTGTGGCAAAATGCCTGTGCCTTCAGCAGCCCAGAGCTGCAAAACGAGCGGAGGTGTAGTCTGGGCCTGGCTCCTCTTGGTTTCTGAAACCTCGTGGCCCAGAGCCCATCTCAGCTTTTGGCCTGAATGCTGAAGTGCTCGGGCTGTGAGACAGGCTGTGAGCAGCACAGCTTGGGGCTGCAGGCTGGGGATGTCATGTGAGCACACTTTCTGCCTCGATAGCCAGCAAGGAATACAAGATCCTCCTCTCTTGGCCCACAGTGACCCAAAGAACTGAGCCACAGAGCTCTGAAGAACCCAGCATGCTGCCATGAGCCATCCTGCAGCCTTCGCCATCCTGCATCCTTCCCCAAGGTTTTGTTCTCAGAGTGGAAGCAGAGGAAACGAGGATTTCTGCCCATTCACTCATCACAAGACCAGCCTGCACTTGGCTTGCGACCCATTGTCATGGTGAATGTGGTCTTTTGAGTCTGCCTACAGCTTCTGCCTCTGGAGCACATGGAATGAAGCAGCCTGCAGTTGTGTCACTGCAGCACCCTTGAGCAGCAGACTGGCAGTTCACTGTTAAAGGTGCTCACTGGTAGGAGCCAGCAAGGAAGCCACCCAAAAAAAACAAGAAGGCAGTGATGCAGAGCTGGGACTTGCTGATAAACCTGTGTGTCCTGGGGGGGTCATCTCTAAAATCTAAGGGATTCAAGCAAGGGCAGCAGCCACCAGAAAAGGAACACTGTAGCTGCTATTCAACTATATGCTGAAGATGAGACCAGAGCACAGAACATGTTAATTCAGCAGTGCCAATGGAGAATTTGCTGTATGAATAGTGATTACTGAAACTGAAATTCAGAGAGGAAAACCTAGCCTAAAATTCCCCTGTTTCTGGCATCCACAGAAATGTCAGGCTGCGCCTCCAGGCAGGTTGCGTTGCCAAAACCTGCACTGCCTAAGAGAAAAAAAGTACACAGATGTGATGAAACGAAGAAGGGAGGAATGGAGATGGAACCTGGTTCTCTCTTGGAAGAGAACAATTCATAACTTCACAGGATGATATCAAACTTGCTGGACTACAGGGATCTTTTCCTGCTAAGAAGTATGTTCCATTGGTGCCTGGAATATTGTCTACTGGCTCTAAAAGCTCTCATTACTTCAAATAAAAACTCAATAAAACTGGCAAGTGGAGCATTCTCCTGGACTCAGAAGATGCTCCCTGCTTCCCATTGCTGTCTCTGGCTGTGAGGCTTGGATGACCACAAGGCTGGGCTGTGCTGGGGCAGCCTAACCCAACAGGGATGGAGGAAAGAAGGTTCAGAGGAGGCCTTTCCACTCTCTACAGCTCCCAGAAGGGAAGTTGTACAGATGAGGGTCAGCCTCAGCCCGCAGGTAACAGAGATAGGGTGAGAGGTAATGGTCAAGTTGCACCAGGGGAGGCTCAGGTTGGATAAAGGGAAAAATTCTTCTCCAAAAGAGCAGTGAGTCAGTGGCACAGCTGACCAGGGAGGTGGGGGAGTCCCCATCCCTAGGGGTGTTCCAGGACTGTGGGGATGTGGCACTGATGGATGCAGTCAGTGGGCATGGAGGGGGTGGGCTAGGGTCAGATTTGGGGGCCTTAGAGTCCTTTTCCAACCTTTATGATTCGATGGTTCTATGGAACAGAGATTCCTACCACCATGAGGAATGTCCAGTGCAGCAGGAAGGAGGAAACCTGCGCAAAGCTGGCAGGCATGATCTTCCCTGGACATAGTGCCAGCATCACCCCTGGTGGTGGGGCTGGGGTGGGATGGGGACCGTGGCACAAAGGGGCAGGGAGTCCTCAGCTGTTACCCATGCACACAACACTGATTAACAGCCCAACACAACCCGTGTGCAGGTCATTAACTCCTCAGGCTCATATTGTGACTCTGGGAGCTCAGCAGGAGCTCAGAAGGGGACAGATGGGCATGGTGCCCAGGAGGACCGCAGGAGGCACCAGTGCTGCCCCAGTCCTGCTGCAGGCTCTCCTCTCTCCCTCCCTCCCAACCCTGTGCTGCTGGGAAGCCGCAGGCTGCTCCAGAGCAGAACCCACACTGTCCCTTGCTGCAGTGCTGAGTAAACACCCAATGGCAGAGCCAAAGGAGCGATCCTTTCCCAAGACATTTGTTTGATGCTTTTCCCCTAGTTACACACCAGAGATCTGTTAAAGGCCAGGGATGCCCTGTATAAATGTTTTCGTTTTACATCTGGAGACATTCAAATAATAGGAACATCATGGAAGGCATTCGGAAAACAAATATTTCAAATGGTACTTTAAAAGCGGTGAGTAAGCAGTGTGACTCAGCAGCGCTTTCCAATGCTTCCCCAAAGAGATGGAAATAAATCCACTTAATAACTGACATATATTGGAAATGTGCTGAGTCGTTTGTCGCTATCTGCAGCCCTGCTGGGAGAAATGACTTGCAGACGTACCTGCGCAGGGCACCCGCACCACATGCAGCTGAATTCAGCCCAAAGGTTGGGAGGGGGGACTTTCTGGGAGCAGTTCAGTGCCTTGCCAGCCGCAGAGCTGGGAACAAGCAAGCATCTTCAGAGCTTCTGCTGCACTGTGTGTTTAACCTCAGCCCATGGAGCCCCTGGGCAGGCAGTGGGGCCATGCTCACCCCCTGGAGCTCTGCTCCTGCTGTGCTCCTGTGACAGAGCTCTCTCAATGATCAGTTTTGTGCTGTCCCACCAGGGCCTCTGCAGGAGGTCTCGCAGAAGTCGCCTTCCAGCAGCACCATGTGGCACAGAAGCAGCAACGCGCTGTCATTAACGCAGCACTGGTGTCACAGCCCATGGCCTCTCGCACCCTCGTGCTTCCCTGTCACAGTCCCATTGGCAGCACTAGCTGCAGCTGCATCTGAACAACAAATTGCACAACAGCAGCCCTCCTTCCAAAGGAAGAGGTGGCGTGTTGCTTTTTTTTCCTCCTTTTCAAACTAAAAATACTCCCTGCATCATCCAAAAAGCAGAATCAAATGCAGAGACCTCTTGGTGAAAAGAAAGAGCCTGCAAGCCAGGAACAGGACAGACAAACCTCCCTGCAGCACAGGTTCTACATTTTCACAGTGGGTAAGGATGTTGCACAGCGCTGGAGATGTGGGGATGATAGAAACACAGAATTGTTAAGGCTGGAAAATGCCTCTACGATCATCTAACCCAATCCCAACCCACCCCACCACATCCCTCAGTGCCACATCTCCACAGCTCTTGAACACCTCCAGGGATGGTGAATCCCCCACCTCCCTGGGCAGCTGTGCCACTGCCTCACTCATCTGGAGAAGAAATATTTCCTAATATCCCACCTGAATCTCCCCTGGTGCAACTTGAGGCCATTACCTCTTGTTCTACCATATCCATTGGATGGCTGGTGTTCTTTGTCACCCTGAAACCAAGCCTAAAATAGCAACTGAAAGCAGAAAGACCAAAAAAAAAAAAAACCAGCTCTGAAGACGAGTGAGCACCTGAAGATAGTGCTGGCCACCAGACGAACATCAAACAAGGAGCCCAGAGTATCTGAGTGTATCCTGGTGGCAATACCCATAACTTACAAACCTATTTGGGTATTTCCTATTTTCGCTCCCCACTTTTCCCTCCCTATTTTCACTGCCCACATTTTAACTCCTCTGGGGCTGGATGGCCCTGCAGGAGAGGTCCCCCAGCCCCTGAATGCACAGACAGGAGTGGAACAGCATTCTATATCTGAACCTGATCTGATCAGAGATCCTTTTCCTGACATCTGTGCCCACTGCTTTGTCCCTCCAGTATTTCCCTGTGTCTCTCTGGGACGACTCAGGCACCATCCTCTTAAAAACTCTCCCTAGGTGGTGAAAGATGTGATTAGATTCAATATAAATCTTGATGCTGGGGCTAAATGACTGTGGTCTTCCTATCATCATTACCCTGAGACATTACTTACCCTCTTTTTCTTCAAAAGAAAATTAAAATTAAAAAAGACTGATGTTAATTAATGGCATCTACTCTGGTCACTGGTATCATTGTGTGGGCTGTAAGGCTGATCTCAGAACTGGGATAAGTGTCAGCAATGTTCTGTGCCTGACTGGTGCCAAGCATTCACCAACAAGGCAGATGCGAATGGCATTTTGAGGTGTGATTGCACCAGCCCTCCTCATCTGGCTCACTTCGGGTGCTGAAGGGTATCCAAATACTTCTTTTTTTTCCTCTAGAAATGTGTTATTTAGGCTCTGCTTTCTGAGTGCTCTGTGTTTGGCAGAGGGGCTGACCATCCATCACCCCCTGCTGCTGCCACTCACTACCACCAGCCCACAGCTTCACAGAGACTCCAAAAAGCAGCTCAATGCTTACTTCTGAGTGAGGGTGAACACACTGCAATGCCAACACAACAGCTCTCATCCCAAAGCAGGACCAGCGTGTGAAACATCAGCACAGAGTGCTTGGCAAGGTGGCACGGCCCCAGCTCAGCACCTACCCTCCCCTGCCTCCTTTCAGCTCTATTGCAAAAGGGCTTTTATACAGGAATTTCAACCAAAAACGCATTCGCTAGGCCACCCTGGGGAAGTAAAGGGGGAAGGAAGCTCTGGATCTTAGAGCTCACATGGTGCTTGATAGGGTTCTGCTGGAAGAAAGGCAGGTTGGATCCACCTCTGGGGATGGAGGATTCGGTGCAATCAGTCACTCACTGCACTGCTGTTCCACTTTCTAGGCTGTTTCTATCTGAGTCCCCATCTCTTCTCTTTCTACTGAGTGGGCATCAGCCCCCTTCTTCACAAACCCAGGACCTCCTCCTGCTTTCCAGCACCATTACATGTCCGTAGCAGACCGGGATCCTGACTATCAGTTACAGCTACTACTGCTGCCCTATAAATAGTCAAAACGCAGGCAGTGCCAGCTCCCAGATCACATTTTAACCGTAAACGAATTGCCAGTTTTCTGCTGTAATTACCCAGGTTGGAAAGGAGTACAGACCTACAAACTTACTCTGAGTAAATTCTGCACGAAGGCTTGGCAGCTCCAGCTCTATAGCCTTTTTTAAATGGAAGGCTCTTCCAAGCCAAATTCTGTCTGCGGGAGCAACCCGTGATAGCCTTGATAGAAGGTTATTTTGTCTCTGGTCTAAATGCTACCTATATTAGTAGTATGACTATGGGAAAACAGCCCCTGCTTCTGGGGCCATTGCTCTTGCTGTGCAAAGATCGTCTTTCTCTGCTGTTATTTTACTGGGATCACTGACCAAGGCAAGATGTTGTGCTTTCAGGGACTCGAGGGACTGCAAGGTGACAAAGGAGGAAAATATGTTCATGGGACACGGAAGAGGCAGCTTTCAGGAAACAGAGCCTCCAGCAGAACTCGTGTGAGTCTCCCTGAGTTCTCTGTGCCCTCTCTTTCCCCCCACCCTTACTTTCCAGCAGCACATGGGCCACTCCAGGCAACAGCACGCCTTTCTGAGCAAGCCAACATCTCCCCGGCAACAGGGCAGGCTGTGGAAATAGCACGGGATTTCCTTTTTGCTTGGCTTTTCCCACCTCTTGAGAAATGTCCTGCCTTTGTGTGTCTTCTCTGCCCAAAAATGTGAATGATGGTAACCGCAGTGCGCCTCAGGGAGGGGCAAGAAAGCTGGCTCTGCTCTTAATGGGAGAGGCCGGCTGGTCTTTGCATCTGACAAGGAGAGAAAGGCTGAAAGAGGAGCAGGTCTTATGAGAGAGGGTCTCTCCCACACACTGCTTCGTTCCTATGGGGAGGCAGCAGTGGCTGCGCAGCATCCTCAGTCCTTCTGGTGAGGGAGGGAAGAGGAGGGCAGCCCCAAAAGTCACCTGAAAGAGAACATCTTCTTGCGAGCAAGGACCAGCCTAACAGTGAGATCCTGCACAGCTCTGTACCCAACCTGCAGGCAGGCCCTTATCAGCAGAGTGGGTCAGCGAGACTTTTTTGTGGTTAGTTTTGTCTTTTCAGCTCCTGCTTCCTATTTTGGTCACTGTGTGGCTGACGGAAGCAAGGAGGTTTAGCCCAGATTTTCCCCCAGCCTTGCACTCCCTCTAGACTAAATACCAGAGGGATAATTAAGGGCAGCAGAACAAGGAGATGTGTAAGAGAGGGCTTGGTCACTTTTCCTCAATAGCAAAAGCACAGAGCATCCAATTCACATCTATTACAGAGGGGAGAGTGAGGCTGTTTTTCACCTGGATCTGAGCATGGTCTGGGTAACACTGTGAGGGAATAAGGGGGAGATGCATCTCCCCTGAAGTCTGGGGGGCTTTGTAGGAGCCAGACAGTCCCCGGCCCCATGTCCTCTGCTGCCTTGCTCCGAGTCACCTGGGAGCAGCCCCAGCCCCTGCTCCCCTTGGCCAGGTCTCTTTTCCTGGAGGCTTAAGTGATGAGTAGGGAAAATCCCTCACAAAAAGATTTGCATCGGAAACCCTTGGCTGCGGAATGACTTTTAAAATAGAAAAGCTTTGCTTGAAAAGGGATGAACTGTGCAGCATAATGCTCAACAAATCGCCTGTTTAATGGCCTCTACAGCAGCTGTGTATTAATAACAAAAGTGGGGTAGCAGAAGCCGTGAGATTAAAATAAATTGTATTTGCTGCTAATACCAGCAACTTTCTGTGGAGGTTGACTAAAAGAAAGGAGCAAGTGGAAGACCATGGCAGGCAGGCTTGGCTTCTCTGCTCTCCTTTGTATTATGTCTACAAAAGGAGAAGATACTCCAAATCTTTTCCATAGGAACATGAATGGACGTGACATTCCACGCAGCCCAGTGCCCTTCCCCTCATTCTGGCATTCTGATAACAGCTCTCCCCATCTATGCCCCCTGTTTTGCAAGCCTGGCACTCGGGCAGTGCTGAATTCCCCCCCTCTAGAATTAGGATTTCAGGCATTAAACAGGGAAAAGAGAATTTACAATTTAAAGCTGTCTGCCACAGACATCAGACTATCAGACACGGGGAATGATTTGTTTCTGTTTTCCTGGACATAGGTTTTTACTGAGGCACGATACGTTGCCTTGCTGAGAGCTGAGTCACTGAGTAATCAACAGATTAATGTAGTCAGTTTGAAAGCCATCAGCATTAGTTCTCGGCAAGCGCACAAGAACTCCATTATTGTATCATTGCTGCGTTTGGGATGAAGGAGCCTCCAGGATTTAGGGTTCCTGTGGGAAAGATCCCTCAGTGCAAAGAAATCAAAACACCCCTTTGCGACTGGGAGACATAAGGCACCTCTTTATACAGCAGCACCACAGCAGGATTTTGGCATCCCTTCCAGCAAATGCTTTTATTATCAACTCTTAGATAAGGAGTTTGAGGTATGTAATACATCTGTCATTTGATAGCTTCCTAAAAATAGCCACGATAAACTCAGTGGCATACAGGACTTTGCCCTTAACAGGTCTTGTAACTGAAATGGTTACATTTCCAGTGAAAGCAAGTAGCGTTGCTTTCTGCAAAAAGACTGATCTAGACTTCTCTAGTGCCTTGTGAGTTTGCTTTGATCTAGAAATGCAGGAAGGAAAGGCAAAGGATAGCACAGGCAGCTGGTAAAGGAGACTGTTTAAAAATAGGGAGCTAGTTAAAACAACAGAGGAGCAATGGGGAAAGGTCTGGCTTGCTTAGGTGCGTGGCCTCACAAGGCTGCCAGACATCAAACTGTTATTCTGATGGACTTACATGGACACTGCTACCTAAGATCCTGCCTGTAAAAGCCTCAGTGAAGTAACAGATCGTCCTGTTTGCATGCAAGATTGCTGTTTGGGCACGCTTGAATGGCAGAGATGCGAGTAAAAGTCAGTCAAGTCCCTGCTAAGTGCAGTTCATTCTAAAAGCCTTCCTATATTAGCAGCTGGTGGAAGGGATTTGAAGAGCAGCAGGACTTCTCCCTGAGACATTCCCACACGCACCCCGTGCACAGACAGCAGACAGGACACATCTTCTCTCTCTTTCCTCAGATCTATCAGTACCTCTCACTTCACTGCCCTTAGATGAACAGAATTATTTTTCACGTGGCCTGGCCAGTGCCAGGTTGTTGTGACACTTCCTACCTTAGCTGTTACGTCACGTGTAATTGCACCTATGCACCTATTTCTTTAAAAACTCCATGCAAGGGGCATGTAACAATAATGTAAACATTTCCCCTCACTTCTTTTCCACCCGAAGACTTTCAGATTGTGCAGACATGTTTTGTTTGTGCTGAGGAGTGTCCCAGTTCTCAGCTCTTTGTACCAAGAAGTGGAGATTTTAACTCACCCTTCGTTCCTTGTCACCGTATTCGATGCCCAAGGTATCCATGGCACGTACAATAGCTGCCAGAGACTGTATAGTGTTGCTGTAGACCACTGGCTTGTACTGCTTCACATCTTCTCCAGAGAAGCCATCCTCATGGATGATCCTGAAGAGAAAGTAGAGAGGACAAAAACCTATTGAGAATGTCATTCAGTGGGGGAGACAGTGAAAACAGAACTGTGCTCGTCTGAAGAGCACATCTGGCAGCTTGATTCACTTAATTTAGTCATCATTTCTTTTCAAACTCTTCTGGCTGCTTACCACTAATGCATCTGAGCCCAGTGCCTGCAATTAACATCCCTTCTGCTCTCTGCCAAGGTCTCATGTAGGGCCGGTGCAGGCTGTCCCTGCACCCAGCAGTACCGTGAGTGCTGGACCTCACCTCCTGTTTGCAGGAGGCTTCCAGGTCCTACCTTATCTTTTCTGACAAAGCCTATGGAAGTATATTCCCTGCTTACAACGACCAACAGATCAGGTCTTAACTACTGAGAAAAAAAAAAAGACAGAAAACTATTTTTTGTCTAGTCCTTTTCATAGTAACTCCTGGGTGCCTTCCGAAAGGAGTGGGTCAAAATCCCCCTCTGTGCATTTATCCATGCCACAGCCATGGATAAATGTAGCACCTGACATCTTCCCAGGCCTTCATGCCTTCCCAGGCAGTGCTGGGAGCTCTGCAGCCTGGAGGCACGTTATGTATCCCTCAGGAAGCACTGCAGGAGTGAAGCCCACGTCCTGCAGCTCCGCGTGTTGGATGCTCCGTCAGTCTGTCAGTGCTGTCAGAACCAGCTGATGGGCTGAGTCCTTGCAGCCTGGCTGGACCTGCTGCCAGCATCACTTCCCCTGTGCAAAATGCGCTAAGCAGCTGCCTGGGTTCAGGCAAGCATGAATAGGAAATGAGATTATGAGACGTGTGCCATTATAGGCTGGGTCCTATCTGTAGACACACAGCTGGCCTGCTGGACACAGGAAACACATCCCTGTGTTTCGTAGCATGACATTGCCATGGGCAGGGTGGAAGACTGGTGCCTCATCTCTAAAACTCAAGGACTAAGCCAGGGCGTGCCCAGAGAATGGCTCGAGTTCACAGAGCTAATTGTGCTTGACAGCAATTCTTCCCAGTGAAGACATAAGTTATGATCCTGTCTCTTAGATATTAGCAGAGAGGATGATCTGCTTAGCCAAAATGAAGTTCTTCCTTTCTCATCTGCAGATCTCACTGGACAACGTACAGTCCTTCAGTAACGGATACGTTCACTAATAGAACCCAGCATCCTGTCTATAATGCGACTCTCTTTTTTTTTCTAGATCACATACACAAACCGACCAGAGCTGGCATCTCCCCCAGGGAGAAGAAGAGCAAGCAAGGATCATATGCAAGAGTGCAATAGATACAGTGCTGGGATGGCATGAAGAGCAGAGTTGGATGCCAGCCTCGTGTTATTAACAGATGACTACATGAAGAACAAGGCTGATACAAGCACAACGACAGCTACTTGCCATGATGTGAACCTCACCGAAAGGCTTTCTAACACCAGTGACCAACCCCCTGCTTTCCCACCATGGCACTGACCCTAACAGACTGAGGGCCCTCGGTGCTCCTCGCTCTCCATGCTCTCCAGACCTTTCTCCATCTCACAGCCCTCCTTGGACGCTCTCTAATAGCTTCTGGGAATGTCTGCTTTGCCAAAAGTTGCAGTCAAGCCTGAGGAGTTATGACTGGCACAAAGCACAGGGTCTGCACCAGCCCCTCAGGAGTTCAGTAGAGCCCCTGCTCCTCTGTGAGCTCTGCATAGGAGGGACCCTGTGGGTATTCAGAAAAAACACCACCAGAGATAATTCACTCCTTGTGTTTGGCTGTTTTGGGGTGGGATTCTGGGGTACGGAGGGCGGAATGTTGGCTCTGGGCAACTCAGAGAAGGCCTCGTGCCGTGAAATTGCTGCCCAACGCTTCCACATCTAAACACCCTGTGTTTCTAAGTGCTCCATGTTTCCCAATTCCCTGCCACATCACAGGGTTCCCTGCTCTCAGGAGGCAGAACCAAGCAGTGCAGAGCGGCTCTGGTATCCCTCAGTGAACATCCTGCTGACGGGGCAACGCGTTCAAAGCGCGGGCATAAAAGCATTGCTTTGAAACGGGGCATAAAAGAACACGGAGGAAAAAAACTCGATTGTTCCTCTGTGAAATTTCTCTGGGAAGGCAGCCACGACGACTAAAAGCAGCGCAGCTGATGCCAGTATTGAAGTTCTGCCGTAGGAAGTACCTACGGATTAATCAATCATGCAGTGAGCACATTACCTAAGATTGGAGCGAGCGAATCCCCACTGACTAGTGCTGTTCCAAAGACTACTAGGACACTGTGAACTGGTTTATTTTCCTATATGCTCTTAGCAAATGTTTTTCTTCTTGCTTGCCTCGGTGAGTCGATCGCTGGGCTCCTCTGGCGGCTTTTCCAATGGTTCTTTGGGAACGTTCTCGCTGCCACTCAACTGCTTGGGATTTACCTTTCTGCAGAACTGTGCCTTACTGCCTATGGGACCACCCTGGGGAGGTACACTGTTAGGGAGAGGCTTAATCCACACTGGAACAGGCTGCCCAAGGAGGCTGTGGATGCCCCATCCCTGCAGGCATTCGAGGCCAGGCTGGATGTGGCTCTGGGCAGCCTGGGCTGCTGGTTGGTGACCTGCACACAGCAGGGGGGTTGGGATCAGATGATGATTGTGGTCCTTTTCAACCCAGGCCATTTGATGGTTCTATGATTCTATAATTCTATGAATCCAGCTTGTGTGCTTCAGCATGCAAGCAGCAATGGGTTCTGGATACTGTGACCACTAAAAATGCAAAGGAACTAACAGAAAAGAGCAGGGCATTATGACTGTCAAGTTGTTAAAGGTTCAGGCAGGGTGGGCCAGTCCTTAAGCAACTTGCAAATTAGCAGGAACTGAGGATTTTCAGCGCTAAAAATGTGAATTCTCTGTTTTCTAAATGGCTAGTATATTTTTCTGTGTCTGAAATACAAAGGAAGCTGCTGTAGGGAGGCTCCTTTCTGCCACATGAGAGCCTGTTCTTCCCAGGGCAGAGGAAGGAAAAGGATTTAAGAGGATCCCGGGGGTTGCTGTGGGGGGGAGACAATGATGTAATTTTTGAAAGCGATTCTAAGCAATTAAAAAGCCATTTCATTCATCAAGTGATTAATGAAACAGCATGCGCTGAACGGAATGGCGCGAGACAACTGAATCAACCTGTCTAATGTACCTATCAATGCCTACTTCCTATCCATCAGCCACTGACATAAAGTCCATATGTTTGCACATTATATTGTCATACTCATTTTAGGATGCCATTAACAGACAGGTATTTGCTGGGGAGAAGGGCTCCACTGCAGAGCAGATCTTCTGCCACCCCACGGCAAGTCATTAATCCTGAAGAAACGCCCAGTGCCTCAGTGATTATTGCTTAATTGCAAAATAAATGAAATACTTGAAAACAGGGGTTGCATCTTGCATAGAGAATCGCCTTGGCTTCCATTCAACAAAGCACTCACGCGCCTTCAGCCTCTCACCAAAAAATGGACGTATTAAAGAAGCAAAGCCCTAGATCACTTCGCTGCATGTCTCTGCTGACATGTGGCGACCCAGCAGCTGGGAAAGGGCAGCTCTGGATGGAGCACACAGTCCCTCCAGCACAGCAGGGCTGCATCTCAAGCTGAGGAATGATCCAAGCCAGAATTCAGTTCACCCAGGTCAGTGCTGGGGGAACATTTGTCCATCTGGAGCACCTCTCCTACGAAGAAAGGCTGAGGGAACTGGGCTTGCTTGGCTTTAAAAAGACAAGGCTGCAGGGAGACCTCATTGTGGCCTTCCAGTCCTTGAAGGGAGCCTATAAACAGGAGGGGGAACGGCTGTTTGTGAGGGTGGGCAGTGATAGGACAAGGGGGAATGGTTTTAAACTGAGACAGGGGAGGTTTAGGTTGGATGTTAGGAGGAAGTTTTTCCCCCAGAGGGTGGTGAGGCACTGGCACAGGTTGCCCAAGGAGGCTGTGGATGCCCCATCCCTGCAGGCATTCAAGGCCAGGCTGGATGTGGCTCTGGGCAGCCTGGGCTGCTGGTTGGTGACCTGCACACAGCAGGGGGTTGGAGCTGGATGAGCACTGTGCTCCTTTTCAACCCTTTTCATTCTATGTTCTATGATTCCATGATTCTATGAACTATTCCTGTCCCACTCCCTACCAAAATAGGAAATGAGATCAGTTTAATGTGCCTCATTTTTGAATAATCCATGCAGGATGTCAATCATCTGCCCTTTTATTTCCTAGGTGCTTACAAACTGATTGCAGCTCAATTCCCTTGGAAGCTTCTAGAAGTTGACCAAACTTTAACCTCTTTTACTCCTCTTTTCTTCCTCTGTATTTAAGGAAGACAGACACCATGTCTACACCTTTTTCCCATCTCACAGTACCTGTCCTCCACGGGCTCTCAAGGAGAAGTGGATATGTACCAGGTATGGAGCACGGAGCTCCTGAAAGCTAGTTTGTGTGCAGGCTGTTCCTGCTGTCACAGCCCTGCCGCATCTCCTGGACTTTGTAACTGCTCCAAAACCTCAAGCAAAAACTGCTGAAATGCTTCCTGCTGACTTCCTGCTTGTGTGGCTTCAAACTGCCTGCATCACTGCAAAAGACATACGTGGAGCCTTCCAATGACCTAGCAAAGAAAATAAATCCCATACTGTTTCTGTTCTGCCTATGACGATTTACTTTCCATCAGCAGGATGTTCCCAGCTGAATGAAGTTTCCCCGTATCAGGGCACATCCCTAAAATGACAGTGATTTACTTGAATAAAACTGGGCAAGAAATCGCCAGGAGATTATTACAGTAGAAGTCTACGGTGAGCAAACACCTTGCAAATGAACGGTCCAGTTCCTATCAATTCAGTTCTTGCTCTTCATCTTCATCTGAACAAATTAAGGCAGTTAAAGGTCACTGCATAGCTTTCAGACAGCAATGAGCTTCACCTGCAAGGCTGCAGTTATCTGTAAGGAGGCTGCAGGGCTTCAGCTGGCAGTGCCCTGCCTTTGTGTTTCATATCAGGTTCTGGTGAGGGTGGGCAGAGGTTGAACGAAAGGAAAAAAGAAGCAAACTGCAAGCCTTGTTTGCAAATGGGGAAAAATAAGAATGCAAACATCTTACTTTAATATACAGGGAAGGGAAAGGGTTGATCAAACTCTGATGGAAATTTTTCTGCTGGACATAATCAGCTATTTCTTAAATTGATTTTTATCTTAACATGAGGTTAAAAAAGTTTGTTTACAGGAGAGTTATGAAGCTAAATTCCAGTGATTTTGTTCTCACTCATTTAATAGCCTGAAATGCGATTAAAAACTCCTGGATTATGTTAAAATAAATGAACGCAGATGCCCGTGACCTTGTGTGTGAAAGGCTGCAGCAGCACAGCGCAGACACCCATGGCAGGGTACAGATCTTTCACAACACACCTCTTCCACCCCGGCTGTGGAATGACACCCTGTGCATCCCAATCCTGCAAGAGCTCTGAGATGGAGGTCAAGATGCCTGTTTGCCTCCATGCCTGCTTTTGAAAAGTAAAACAAACTCCTTCGTCGGGGCCACCCTGGGGCCAAGCAGTGCTCATTTGAGAAAGCTTAACTTTTTCAACCTGGATTCTTAATGCCCATCCAAGAAACATGGATGGAGCTCTGATAAAATCCCAGCTGGGGATGATCTCCTTTCTGGAGGAAATACCTTATGGTCACGCAAAACTAAATACTTATCACTGAGGTATTTCTTGCATGCAAAGATGTTATTGCAACTAACCAGCTGGTTCATGTTAAAAAATAAGCAAATCCATCAGGAGACTGAGACGTGCTGCCAGACTGCAGCCCTGGATACGTTTTGCTTATCCCTGTTCAGAAGAACTGCGAAAATTGCATGAACCAGGACAGAAGCCTTCTTGCTCTCCTAAGGCAAAATATGTGTCTGATAAGGATGCATGTAAGGAATTGATGCCTTCACAAGGTCTGATTAAGGTCAGGCATGTGCTTCCGTACCTCTGCTGCTGGCCAAAAAGCCACAAGTGATGTTACTTGGAACTCCCACATGGCTGCTCAGAATGAACGTCGCTCCTGTTGTAGCTCTGCCTATGGTGAACAGACACGAGCTAACAACTGTGTTCTGGGCATGCAGGGACCTGATATGGCATCTGCCCCAAACCTCTGTACCCAATGAGTGTATAAAGCATAGGCAGAACACTCTTCATTTCCTTTTTAAATCAGATAAGAACCAGAAAGATGCACACCAAAGAAAACTGCCAACGTGGTGCTGTGTCCCTACAGTCCTGTGGCTTGTCTGAATCAGCTCTTAGTTTTACTGTTATTCTTTTCTTAATGCTTCATTTTGGCTCTGGGCAGCCTCAAGGGGTGATACAAACTTGAGCTGCAGGCTGTTGAGACAAAAGATGGTTTCCTGGGCTGCGTTCTCAGTTCCCTGCCCTGTGTCTATTGGGGTGAGCTGTTCCTTGCACTGTGCTTTGGGATGTCCCAACACCCCTTCCCTTGCTTGACCTGCAAGATTTGTTGTACTTCTATTTCCTGTACTCTGCTTTCCAGTGTGAGCATATAGAATAAGTTCAAGAGTGTAAAGACACCAATACATCCTGAAAGTAATGAACGGCTGTTGATAAATGAAAGACGCCACTGCAGCTATTTCAGCAGAAGGCAGAGCAGAGCAGCTGGCACCAGGTAGGAGCATTCTCACCTAACAAAACACAGTCAGAAAAATAAGCCCATGGTGGCATTCCCTGGAGAACAAGTATACCCACGCTATGCCTAACTCCCTTAAGTGCTGTGCTCGGCGCTGGGCCCCTCACTGCAAGAAGGACATAAAGGCCCTAGAGCACATCCAGAGAATAAGTCCATCATGCTTGCTAATACAGAACAAACACAAGATCCTCCTTTCTGCCTGAAATCAGTTGCCTTATGCTCCCAAAAGCAATAAAACAAAATAAACCTGAACTTTGCCCAAAGAGGAAGGAGAAGCAGCAAGGAGGGCTGCAGGCTGGCTGCCCCCAGCCACCCCATCACTCACAGCACCAGAGTGGGGCAGGCTGGGGCTTTATGTAACACCAGGGCACTGACACAGCTTGCTTCTACTGCAATTTGGAATTGTGTAACTTTGATAACCTGCCCTCTCCTGGGGCCTTTAATATTAAGATCAAATACTGACTACCCTACGTGCACCTAATTAGCTTTAATACGCATCCCGCTCCGCTCAGCGAGAACAGCGAAGAAACTCAGTCAAAAACCATCAGACCAGGATTTCTTTCGATTAAGGAGAGGCAGCTGGACGGCACCTACTCCTGCAGCAGTGCCTGCATTAGATGAGATTGCATTTTTCTGTGCAAAAAGCCTCGGGGCAAAGGGGTTTCAAATAGCACCAGAGGAGGCTGACAGCTGCGCTCCTCTCCTGTGTGCATTCCCAAATAATAATGCAGCAGAAGAAAAGGGGTCCCAGCTCCGAGTGCCTCGCTTTCTGATCCCATGTAATGGCCTGTGCTGTCAGTCTACTTGGTCCGCGCTGCCTGGGAGCAATGAGATCCTCCAGGAAAAAAATCCACTGGGCTGGTGATGACCCACATGCGAGAATTCTCATTAATTCCTCAGTAATGTTACATAAGGTCATTTTGTTGAATTAAAATTATTGGGATTAATCCTCTTAAATGTTCTCTTAGATGCAAGAGGGCTCTGACCGCAGCTGGATCATCCCACAGCTGGTTCTAGAAAGTCAAAACACTGTTTTAAAGCCCCGTAATGGTTTTGTTAAATTCATCCCCTGAGCAAGGACACAAAGAAGCTTTTTATGGCTTTTTTAGATCACTTACAACTTCTGTAAGCTGTCATTAACTATCATCAGAGCCTGAAAAACGAGGCAAATGGGTTCAATGTCAGTTTTACTGCCCAAACCTACATAATATTTCTGCTTTCCCATCTGCCTCACCTGAAGTGTTTTGATAGCTGGAAGGTGACTTTGCCTCTCAAAACCTCAGATTCTGGGTTCCATAACAAAACATTCTGTGGACAATAGAGGAAACGGGATGTCCTCAGCCTCTTTATCTGCTTATGTATTTCAGCCTCAATTAAGCGACGCCACCAAATCCCACAACAAAAATAAAGCTTTGGTGGGATGCACAAAGTTCCCTCACGCGGCACACACAGCTTTCCAAATCCCCCCAAAATCCCTTGGGATTCCAAGCCTCCGTGTGCAGGGCTGAGCTCTGCAGAGCTGAGTATCCAGTGTGTGTAGTAGCTGCTCAGGCACTCAGCAGGAGTCATGTGCTGCCACGAAAACACTAAGCTAACATAAAAATATGCTTTAAAGCAGCTTTGCCTTTTTGGGATATCAAATCTTGCAGCAACCGTCTTTTTTTGAAGCAATAGCTGATGGGTTTGATCAGCTCTGCTAAGAGATGCACTGCTTCTGGTGTTTCAACTCTGAGCAGAGAAGGAATTGATACTGATAAAAGTGATTCTGCTGTGCCTTACCCCCTGTTCATCCTCGCTGAATACAGCCCAGGGGCTCCATCTCCAAATGCCTGCCCCCCAGCGTGCTGCCAGGCTGCCCTTACCCCTCATTAGTCTCAGCTCAGAGATCTTCCAGCCGTGCCGTTCCCGGCTCTGCACCACGCTGCTTTTCCATTTGAGGATGCACTCAAGCACTGCACCTCACACATCACAGTCTGAGAGAGAGCAGCTTATTGATGGCAAAAAGTCCCTGAACGCTGTAATGGATCCTACTGGAAAATGTTGCAACGAGAATGGAGAGCTGTGCTCTAGAAGTGACAAAAGTCCTGGGCAAGGAACAGCGATTCGGCCTCTGTCGCTGCTGCTGCTGCAGGCAGCACAAAGCCGCATCTCATCTGCGTAATTGTGGTCGTTCTTGCAATGAGGGTGCATAGCTTCTGCTGCCTGTACTTAGTGGAGCTTCTTGGAAATCTCTGCTTACATCTGAAGCACAGCTCGGATGGAGCAGCAGACACAGAGGGTCCCAGTCTGCCTCATGCCCCTGCTCTGAGCCCCTGCACCACGCTGCTCACAGCCACCCTGTGTGCTGAGACTGCCCCAGCTGAAGGCTTTGAGCTGAATGAGGCACATACGGCACTTTAGGATTCCACCCACACTGCTAATGAGGTTTCACAGCAGGAAGGAGGTATGTTGCACTTGTGATTAATTACACGCATTTGGATGTATTGAAATTATAACTTTCTATGCTTGTACTCAGAGAACAGGTTATCCAAAGGGAAGACAAATGCACAGCTTCTCCCTGACACCTGCCACAAGCATTCAGGTAAATAATGATAACCTTTTAGGACTTCTCACATGCAGCTAATGCTTAGGAAACACCAGAGGTGGCAAGATCTGGACAAGCACACAGAGAGAGACTTGTCCCAGGCAATGGAAGGCTCTGCCTCTGCTGCATGTCTCCCAGCCGCCCTGCCCTGAAAAGCAAGAGGAGCAATTTTTCCCAGTGTTTCCCCAGCGCTTTGAGGCTATTTCAATGAGCTATGGTTTGGAAAAGCATTGGAAGACCTTGGGTATCCTTGGTGCCTCATGGCACATCCTGGAACCCAGCGCTGGGCTCTCAGCACACCAGGTGACCAAGGACTGGTTACCGGCATGCAGCAGGGCAGCTCCCCTGACCTGTCTCCTGACCATGTGTTCCTCAAGCTCCATGCTGGCTCATGACAGGGCAGCTCCTGCCAGTGAAGGAGAGAGATCAATAACTGAGTGTCTGGGGTACCCCAGGGCCAGACATTGCTGCCTCTGAAAGCCTGATGCAGAGCTTAAGCATCAGGGCACTTAAGCTCTCCCTGCCAGCCCGGTGCTCTGTTAATGGCGGTCCCAGGAGCTCTGCACTACCAAGAAATAACCCCAGGACTGCTGGGAAGCGAGCCCCTCCAGACAGCCATCAGAGAGCCCGCTTGGCACCTCTTCCTCCAGCCTCTTTCACTGCTTGGTGGCTGCCAGAGCCAGGCAGAAGCAGCAAACACCACAGCACAGGCAGCTGTCACCAGGTGTCCGTTCCGGCTGTGGTTCAGCAAGCCGCCTCCAGCTCTCTAGATGGGCACAGCTATAGCATAGGGCAGCTCTGCATTTAAATTGATATGTAAATGTGTTTTCCCATTTTGTTGGGAGGTGACCACAGTGACAAACATCACAAAAATGAGCATGTTCTTCCTACTACTTTCATCAGTCCTTGCCATCTACCATGTTATCTTCAATTGAGAAATTCCGTATTGAACTCTTTTATAAATGCCTTTAAGTCTTCCCTGAGAGTAGCTGAGAACAAGATGCATCACGATTCAAAGCGATTGTCTGAACCACATTATAAAGCATTCAGCTAGATC